GTCTACATGTTCCACTGTTTCACCAACAGGAAGACAGAGGTGCTGAGGAACTTCCTGGGACAAACTTATTGGAAATCATCTCTGGATGATTTCCTAAATAGAGCCATGGAGAAATCCCTCCAAAGTAAAACTGGCCACCTGGACCTGTTTGTCCGCTTCCTTTATGGCCTCTGTCTGCAATCTAATCAGAGACTCTTAGGTGGTCTGCTGGGTCAGACAGAGAATATTCCAGAAATATTCAAGAAAGCCATTCAGAACCTGAAGAAGAAGAACAGTTATGAAATATCTCCTGACAGAAGCATCAACATCTTCCACTGTCTGATGGAGATGAACGACCTCTCAGTATATCGGGAGATCAAGGAATTCATCAAGTCAGAGAACATATTAGGGGATCTCTCTATGATCCACTGCTCAGCCCTGGCCTTCATGCTGCAGATGTCAGAGGAGGTTCTGGATGAGTTGGACCTGCAGAAGTACAACACATCACAGCAGGGGCGACATAGACTGATTCCAGCTGTGAGGAACTGCAGAAAAGCTCAGTAAGTCCAGATGTGATCATTGACATCATTTAACATTGTTAGTAGTTTTTGACATGGTGTAATTTTTTTCTTTTTTAAACACTGTTACACTTCATACGATATTTTATTACACAGTCAAACGAGCCATCTCTTAGATGCTTCTCCTTTAAATTTTTCTTCTCACATGAAGAGTTCTGAAGGATCAGTCCCTTAAAGCCCTCGCGGTGCTGTATTATTCCACTATAACACTTTGCTTTCAAAATTTTTTAAAGTAGAATTTGAGGCTTTTCTGTGGAACCAGCTCCCAGTTTGGATTCAGGAGACAGACACTATCTTTGCTTTCTCTGCTGTGAACCCTCCGGTAGATTAAACATGATGTGTCACGACCATTGTGAACTCAGCTTCTCCCTCAGGAAACAGCAGGGGTTGATACACTAAAAGAAGTTTCAAAATCTAGTGGCAGAGGAGGTGAGGGAGTTATGGTTATATTCCAGTGGACCAGGATGCTGGGTTGTGGTCAGTGATACAGCAGAAGGTTGTCTCTAGTTTCTCATTCAATCGTTTGGTTTGTCTATTTTTCTGTGGATGATAGCCGGAACTAAGACAGGGTTTAGCCCCTAAGGCAGTGCAGAAAGTTCTCCATGCCTGACACATCAATTGTCGGCCTCTGTCAGATACTATTTTGGTGGGAATTCCATGAAGTTTGAACACTTGGCTTGACGTTGGCTATCTCTGTGGCTGTGGGTAAGTCCTCATTTTAGGTTTGACAGCGTTTTTATCAGATAAAGGTGAATGACTTAAACATGAATTGAGCTGTGGTTTGGGAAAGGCCTCGGAGGAGACTGGTAGCAGTCAGTTTTCAATTCAGTTTATGTATACAGCAACAGTTGTGATTTGGCGCTGTTTATATTGTAATATAGACCCTACAATAATACCTACAAAGAAAAACCCAACAATCATATGACCCCCCTATGAGCAAGCAGTTTGGCGACAGTGGGAAGGAAAACTCCTTTTTTACAGGAAGAAACCTCCAGCAGAACCAGGCTCAGGGAAGGGAAGCCATCTGTCGTGACTGGTTAGGGTGAGAGAAGGAAAACAGGTCAAAAGACATGCACAGAGAGAGCGAACACCAAGTGACAGTGCCACCCAAGGGAGAGGAATATAACTGGTAAGCAGGCTAGTGAAGATAAGCAGCCCATGGCCTCAGTAAGGTGGTCGAGGATTCCATAGAATGGAGTGGATGAGCTTGGAAAATTAGGAAGGAATGGTGGAAGAAGAGATCAAAGGAAATTTTGGACAACGAAAGACCTTAATAGATGAATGAGGGGAACCCTCGATCATGTAGCGATGTGGCTCAACTCTCAACTGAAGCTCTGACAGTGACGCATGCTGGGATTTTAAGACTTGGGGCAATGGCTTGAAACCACATGAGAAATGAAGAGAAACATTGAGGAATTATACACAAGGTGGAGTTCACATGTCTTAAAAGGAGCAATAGAGGACAGAACCAGGCATTCCTGTGCAATGAGGGTTCGCTGGTGTTATGCAAAGGCAAGAAAGATGGCAGAGAAATTGGCATCCCGGTGCTGGAAGGGTTTGCTGGTAAATTTTGTGGCGGGGGGAACAAAATGGAGAAACTGGTGTGAGAAATGTTTACTGCTTAGTTTGCAAATGACCAATATGGAAACGAAGACTGGCAACACGGTGTCAGGAATGTGCTCTGTTACATTTTGTGAAAGATGGATAGATGCAGGGAAACTGACATCCCAGAGGGGGATGATGGCAGAAGCTGCCAATCTAGTGGCTGAAAAGTGAGCTGCTGTATTTTGCAAAGGAAGGTTAGGGAAGAGACAACCTGGCAAAAAGCTTTCCGCTGCATTTACAAATGAGGAATAGAGACAAAGAACCTGGCGTCCTAGTGCCGAAAGGAATGGCTGCTGCTAAGGATATGAGGCTGGATGCGGAGAAACTGGCATCCCAGTGCTTCTGCATTTTGCGAATGAGAACCTGGCATTCTGGTGTCAGGAACTTTGAAGCTGCATATTACAAACGGATGGATAGTAGAGCATTTTTGTTTTGTTTTGTTACAAAATTGAAAAATTGAACCTGGCAAAGAATAATGACCAACGTGCCTTGCGTGCATTTAGTCTTTTTGCTGTCCCTAGGTTGGTTACGTTTTTATGATCTGTCTAGATAGTGAAAGGTTGTTCAGCTCCCTCCGACAGATGTCGACATTCCTCCAAGGCGAGCTTAACTGCTCACAGCTCTCTGTCCCCAACATCATAATTTCTTTCTGCAGGACTGAGGTGATGTGAAAAAAGGCGCATAGATGAAGTTTAGCTTGGGGCCCAGAGCGCTGGGAGAGGGCTGCACCCACACCTGTGTCTGAGGCATCTATCTCAACAATGAAAGGATTATCTTTGTCAGGGTGGACCAACACTGGGGCAGTGGTGAACAGATGTTTCAATTGAGAGAAAGACATCTCAGCTTCGGGTGACCAGGTGAATGAAACCTTAGTGGATGTGAGGTGTGTTAAAGCAGAACTGTCAATGCAGAGGGACAGGGAAACAAATTCTTTAAAAGAAGCAGGCTCGTCATGGGAAGCGAGCTGATCCTTCAAAGATTCATTCAACATTTGTAAATGCACCCACCACAGTGCCCGATCCTGCCAGCCTGCCTCAGAGGCAGCAGCCGGAAATCAGTGAGGAAGTCTGCCACACTACGATGACCCCATTTCAAGTTTAAGAGTTTCCTGGCCGGGGGATTAGAAAACTAGAAAGTTAGAGGCCATCCAGGTATTTATGTCTTTAAGACATTCCTGCAGTTTAACTAATTGGTGTGTGTTATCTGGCTTCATGGATAGATAAAGTTGGGTGTCATCTGCATAGCAGCTAAAATGTATGCTATGCTTTCTGATGATACTGCCTAAGGGAAGCATGTATAATGTAAACAGAATTGGTCCTAGCACTGTACCCTGTGGAACACCATAGTTGACCTTTGCATTTGCACTGTTAAATTTTTATATAGCTTTAGTGCACGTAAGAAACATCTGCTTGTTTAAGTGCAAATAAATGGATGGGGGTTTTTTTGCACTAGTAAAGTTGTGGAGTTGTATTTTGTCTCGCATCAATTATATCGTCAGTTATATAGTTATCTCAAATTTTCAAAAATATATCATTTTTTATCATGTTCTAATCTCAACTCTTCTGTCATGAATGTCATGAAAGAAGGAAATGTGAGTCATAATGTTCAGGAGACCTTATTTCTTTGTTCCTGAACAAACTGATGATCAAACTGTGAAAACACACAAGGAAATATTAGACACACACTCACAATCATCATCAGGTAATTAAACATGAAACACTCTAGATGTTGAGAATAGGGCTGCTCCATTATTTCAAAAATCATAATCAATAAACCAGGAATAAACAGAATCCTTGAAACCTCAGTAACGAAAGAGGTGTGTGTCTCCTCTTAATCTAAGAGATTATCTCCATTCTGACCTGTTCAAGCTAGAATTCTCTGAACCATGGACATGAAAGCAGATCCAGGGTATCTCCGTCCAAGGAATGACTGAGTCTGCAGACATTAGTTCTGACTCCAGAAAGTCACGATGATCATTTTGATTTGTTCTTTTTTATGTTAGTTCCCCTGACATCCGATATGATATCAGCAGCTCTGAGTTCATTCATCATTATTGTCCAGTGATGAGATTTCTGCTCCGTTTGGTCAGCAGATTTTTCCTGCGTGTGGACGTGAACAGTCGTACCTGACAGCAGCAGGTAGCAAACAGAGATCATCTTTTCCAGCTGGAACTCTTCACTGAGCTGAACTCATTCAAAATGTTCTGGAGTCAGATTAAAAACAGGAAAAAGTCCAAATGTGTGTCTTCACTCTGACTCTGGATCAGATCTCACTGACAGACTGTGGACATTATGGAAGCCTAAATGTGACGCCCTCCTTCATCCACAGATTAAAGCCAAACAAAGATTCTCATTAAAAGTGTGCAGGTCTGAGAGAGACTGAATCATTGTGTCATGGCAAACACAGTAAGAGGAGCTGAAGCACAGATGTGAAGAGCAGATGTTCATCAGATTATGATGTCACTCTGTTTTGTCTTCATTTTGATTTTTGATGATTTTCTGCTTTTATAATAACACATTTTATATTTTCTATAATCACAGTCTGGCTGAGTGTGAACTCTCACCAACTCACTGTGAAGTTGTGGCCTCAGCTCTGAAGTCCAACCCCTCCCATCTGACAGAGTTGGACATGAGTGAAAACAACCTGCAGGACTCAGCAGTGAAGCTTCTGTGTGCTGGACTGGAGAGTCCAAACTGTCGACTGGAGACTCTGAGGTGAGTTCACTGACTGAAGCTGAAGTGGAGCGGTGACGGGGAGATGTTTGACAGGACAGTTTTTCAGCCTCCACATGTTCATGTTGTGCTCCATCAGTCAGTAAAGATGAAGTCAGTACTGATGAGGCTGTAGAGTGTGTGAGGGATGTGAATGAGGCTGTTGAAGATCTGATGATAGCAGATAAAAACAGGCTACAGAGACTTTGAGCTTGTCTGGAAACAGAGAGAGAGAAAAGAAAGACATGAATGTCAAAGCTAATAAAGGTGAAATTAGGAGCTGTGATGATGTTCATGGTATCAGAAGCTGATATGGGTTCTACAGAGACAACCCACACAGCTGCTGTGGTGAGGTGTGTGTTAAAGCAGAGGAACACGGAGTAGTCTAACACAGGCCCAAACATAACAACAAAGCAGGATTCAGGCTCTGTGAGAGGATTTCAAGTAGAAGCTGGAGAAGAAAAAGAACTCTGTTGGAATGACTACAGAAAGCACGCAGCTGAGACCAGTTCAAGTGTCTGAGGTTTCCATGGAGCCCAGTCTAACATTCATTTATACACTAATGTACAGAAGTGAATGGGAAAATGAATCCATAGTGTCAAATGTAGAAATAGTTCTTAGTTCATTTACAGAGTTTAATACAGTTACTTTGTAAAAAGTCTCAGAATCTTTCTGCCCGTGTCTGACACCTGTTGCATTATGGGTAAGAGGGATCCCAGGCCAGCCAATCAGAGTAGAGTTTGACAATAAAGCCAAAGATGGATTACGGACTACAAAGCCAGGGACACTGCGCTGATCAACGCTGACTCTGCATTCACCAACGA